GTGTTTGGCAGAGAGCCCAGAGACATGGCAGTGGACACGGCACAGGGTGCCTGTCTGCCTCTCGACTGGCTGAGCTGTCCCCCGCTCCCACTCAGGCTGTGATGACTGTGGCCCCAAAGGCAGGGTGGCGGCTCCTGACATGCTCTCTACACCCCAGACAGCTTCTAAGATGACCAAGGCCCTCGCATAACTTGTGGCACAGGGAGTGTAGCGCCATTGGGCCAGAATTCGGGTACTTCCTATATAATTTTTCTTTTCAAAGAGAAACGGACTGTGTACTGGCACGTCTTTCATTTGTAAGCGTCGCAAATAGTTCTGTGATGAGAGACCTGAGTCACTGGCAACAAGTATTTGGTTAATTTTTAACAAAATCTGAGAACGGTCCACACTGCTGACTCTGAGAAGCCGCCGACCAAGTGCTGCTGGGGCGACACGCCACCAGGGAGGCAGGCGGCTGCCCAGGACGCCTGCCAGGATGCCGTTCTCTGACGTGGGGACTCACACACTCTGTGTTAAGTCAGCGAGAACACTGCAGGTGGTAGAGCAGAGAGCACTTCTGATGGAAAATCAACTGATAACACAGTCTTATTTCAATTTTCTTTTTATTGTTTAAGCGACTGTGTGCGTTCCACAGTCTTAGGATGGAGGCTTCAGAATCACGTGTACGTCTTCTCAACATTTCAGTTCTTGAATCGGTTTTTACTTTACGTTGTGCATTGATATGGGCTTCTCAGTTCAGAAAACAAGGCACTAGAACTATTTTATCAGCTACATTAATACAGTGAAGGTATATTTATCCTTTCATTAAATATACAGCATTTGAATACAATATGGTTTTATGCAGATCAGGTTCAAAACACCCAAGGCACACACTTTATTTTTTTTCCTTTTTTTTTCATTTCTGTATTTATTTGAAGGCTCATATTAAAGTTTCAGAATTGCTATAAACATAGAGTTCCAGAGTAGAAGCAATGGACAGTGATTGTTGTCATTTTAAACACAGAACAATAAAGACTGAAATGCAGAGACATGTTACAGGAACAGTAAAGAAAATCATGGGTACAGCGCGGATTGGAAACCGAAGCGGTCGGGCCTGCTGGCGTCGGAGGGCCAGATTTGGGAATGACCCGGGCCCCACGGAGCGCGGCTGCCCCTGGCGCAGTTGTGGCTGTGCTCCCCCAGGTGCCGTGGGATTTCCACCTGTTCACTGGGTACACGGACAGCTACAAGTACAGACAGACGCTCCAGTGCCCTGGCTGGTGACACGCCTCAAAGAAAGTACAAGCCAAAAAGAAGTCTTCCATCTTTTTCCTTAGGACAAACTGGTACATTTACCCAGAAGCGGTCTGGAAGAAACCATTGGAGGTGATGGAGGTGGTTAAGTCTGGGAGAGACCATCGGACAGTGAGGCGGGAGGCCTAAGGGAGGGTGAACTAGGCCGGATAGGAGGATTCAGACTTCTCATGGACACAGAAACACAGTGGCTGCTGTTCGAGTGGAGCGTGTGCCAACATAGAGGCCACTGGCCAGGAACTAAGGACATCAGGTATTCATCGATGAGACCAGAGATGAGGTTCAGTGTTTAAAACATACTTCCCTACAGACAAAGGGATAGCCCCTGCCTTCCTGGCTCCGTTCTCGGCCAAAAGACACAAATTCTCTTGCCCCAAGCCTCAGTGCCTGCTCGCTGACCAAAATGTGGTTGGCTGCACGTTAACCAGAGAGGCCGCCCGGCTCTGCAACCCCACAGCCTGGCGGGAAGATGACGAGCAGGTGGGGGTGCAGGGGACCCCCTCGGCGCCACCCCCACTTCCATCCCAAACCAAAGGAAGGCCAGGCCTCAGCTGGGCTCTTCCAGGAGAGCTCGCAGACGTGCGCACTGACACGCACACGGCTCTGAAATTGTGCGTGTCTCCGTCCGTGCCGTGAGGGGAGGGAGCCCAGGCAGACGAGCTCTGCGAAGGGAGGGCTCTTACTCTTTGAAGAAAGGAGGTACCTGGTCAGCCTCACAGAGGTCCAGAGGTGATGACGTTCAAAGAGCCTGCGTCAGGTTGCAAGTTGGCAGCTCCGGGCTCACCCAGACGGCTTTCGCTGTGTGCAATCAGAGCCACACCCTTGGTGCAATCGCATGTTTATTTTTCTTACAGTAATTTTGGTTGCGGTACAAGAGATTGAAGGTTTGGGAGGAAGTGCACATTACAGGAGCTTGGTTTTTGTTTTGTTTTGTTTCGTTTTTTAAAATAAAGTTTAAAAGGAATAAAAGCACAAAAGTAACAGCAACACAGATAATGCGAACACAAGTTACACAAACCATAGTGTGAAACATATTAGTTTCCAAAAAAACAAAAAAAAATTTGTCAATGGGAAAAAAAAAATCAGTATTTGTGGCCCACACACACAAAGTCGTTGCCAGATCACCTGGGTAATGCTTGCTTGTTCAGTTAACTCAGGAAAAAAAAATCCCCATTTTACTAACTGAAGTACCACAAATAACCCACTTTGTGATATGTAGAGTTCAGCAGGTCAACAGTCACACTGCGTCAGTCTGTAGTCCATGAGCTGACCTAGAATGCGGCGGAGCCCCTGGAGCAGGCGTCTCCGCGGGGGGGTACAGGGCTTACAGCTGGAGAGTTTGGTTTCGCATACACAATGTTACAGACACTAGGCATGTAAATGCAATTTATTTAAATTACAGTAGATAACAAAAGTTGATCTTAAAACCCGGAATAGTATTAACATGATCTCTATATGAGCAGTTTGACTCGTGTCCCACCATTGAGGGGGTCATGGAATAGGGCCTGGTCCTAACGTGTCCGAGGGGGTGGGGAGGGAGAGCAGCAGGTAGCGGTCTCGGGAGGAACTATTGCTTTCTGTAGCAACACCATCGAACAGGGCTAGAGATGGGTTCATCTTGGCAACGTGTGTTACTCTGATGGTCAGTGCAGGTTCTACGGGTCCTGTGACTTTTCTAGAATAAGACAAGGCAAAAATAAGTGACTGCCCTGCTTTTTTTTTTTTTTTTTTTTTGTGTGTGTCGTGCAGTCTGCTTGCTTCAGATAAGTTGCCCGTGGCTGGACGGCTCTCTAAGAAAGGGCGTGGCAGCCAAAGTCCAGTGAACCTGAAGCCACCAGGTGGCATCCTAGCAGCGCCTTCCCTTCCTGCGCTCGCTCTCATGCCGGGTGTCGCCCGGCACTGACGCGGAGGTAATGCCCAACAGTAGACCGAGGAGGGAAGAGCCAGGGTGAGCGGTGCGCTGACTGAATTTTGCTCTATCTCCAAATGGAAGACAAATAATGGCCCAACCACCACCTTTCCGTTTTCTGAACACTCGCGGGTGGCCTCAGCAGGCCACCCGTAGCGTCCCTGGCGCACCCCACGACCGTGGGACCGCAGGTGCGTGGGACAGAAGCGCCTTCGTGTTCAATTGATTTCTCGTTGGATTGGGGCATTCTCAGACACAGATTGCCCTGCAGAAGGGTGTGGACAGAGGAAGGTCCAAAACTCAGTCTCCAATTCAGGGGCATGTGGCTGGAAAAAGTTTGCGCGCGGGTGTGAGTTGTGTGTGTGGTGATGCATGTTTGCTTTTGGAGAAACTGCTGCATTGTGAATTGTAACCACTTTTGAAGAAGTAATTGTCCTTTGATGACGAAGTTCTAGCAAAGATAGAAAATATAACACAGCTCTGCTGGTTCAGATGCATCCAAATAAGGTTGATTTAAAAAGGTCATACTTTTATAATCCCACAGAAATAGTATTATTAAATCACAAAAGTTTTTTTTTTCTTTAACTTTCTAGCACTGAAGTGGCACAAAGGCTGCTGAGTAGACCAGCCACTTTTTTTTTCTTAAAATATTGTGCTTATAAACTATCTGTACAACTATTTAAACTTGCAGTAAAGAAAGAGATTTTAAATTGCTAAATTTTATGTGTTCATTCTAGAGCTGTTCCAGACCTAATCAGACACTTGATTGTGAGCATAAAGAAAAAAAAAGGAAAAAAAGTCATGTTTTTATAATTAGAGATGGGCTAGGCTAGTTCTGAAATCATAATAAAAGCCAAAACCTGCGGTTCGAGTTCCTTCCAAGTGTGGGAGAATGTGCTAGAAGCCTGGCTGGATGTCTGGTGGCCCCTGGGCAGGCGGCAACCTCCCTTGGAAGCTGGAGGTAATGTTACGGGGGAGGGGACTCCAGGGAGGAGACCGGGCACAGCCCAGAAAAGCCTCGCGAGAGGGGCCTGGTGCAGCCTGGGGAAGCCTCCCTGGCTGGCCTTTTTTCATTTGTCTGCCTGCCCCCTCGCCCTGCAGCCCACCGTGTGTTCTAAACCCTGAGTCCGGTGTAGACGCCATACCCTCCGGGAGCTCAAGAAGCCTGTTGTAGGACAAACTGGTGGGCTGTGCGGACAGTTGGAGACAAAGGGGGAGGGCCCCCAAGGACCATCTTCCCTGGCCTCAGAGAGCAGAGGGTCTGTCTCGGCAGAGTCGCCACCCGGGCTGGGCTGGGAACGGACGTCGCGGCGCCCCACCAGCTCCCGGGGAAGACGTGGTCTCCTCTGCCGCGGCACGCGCCCACCGTTCACCTCGTGTCCCGCCCTCGTGTTAAAGTGGACGCTCACCTGCTCTGGTCTTAGCAGAATGCAGCACACTTGCAGTTTAAAAAAAGTGTCGTGAAAGGCAGAGAATCCCCTTCTCACCGTCCTGGAGACGCTCTTGGCAGATGACTGACTGCTCGTCCCCTGGAGGAGACTTGGGACCCAGGCAGCTGCGCACGGGCTGCTTCCCGTGGCCAGGTCTCCCCTCCTCCTTGGAATCGTGACTTTGTGCTTTGACTAACTCCGTGTGACATCTGTTTGGCCACTTTGGAATTATGTTACTAGATTTGCAGAAAGAAAGCAAGCTACGCAAAGCTGGGCACGATCCCATTCCGACTCCCCACCACTGCCAAGAGCCTCACGGCCGAAGAACCACGGGCGCACCTCGCAGGAGGAGACGGGGTGCCGAATCCAGAGGAAAAAGAGATTCTCTACCTTTCGGGCCCAAGAAGGGGCACCGGACAGACTACTGTGGGGTGTTTTACCGCAAGCGAAGTAGAGGAAAGGAGCAAGTGAGCATTGAGAACCCTCCCGGAGGCCACAGACTGCGGCGGGCCTGCGGCGGGGACAGCTGCCCGGAAAGCAGAGGGAGGTCTCAGGAGGCATCTGGAGGACACTGGTGTCTGCAAGAGCAAGGGTCCCGTGCTAAGTCGACGGGGGCGTCCCCGGGGCCTGGCAACGTGAGGTCACCTGCATGCTGGGAGGCAAGCCGGGCCGCTCTCTCGTGGTGCAGAACTCCCTCCCCGTGTCCCCTGCTGCACAGAAACAGCCCGTGAAGCCCACAGGGAGATTGGGGGCCTTTCAAGGCCTTCGCTCAGCCACACCTGGACACACTCGGCATTTCTTTGGGTACCAGGAGACACACCCGTGGAGTGGGGTTGGTGCTCACAGACCATGCTTGGCCGCCCAAATATTTCAGTAGAAGCCCATCTCTACTTATAACAAGGAGTCTGTGAAGGTACAGAGCAGCCACCCTTATCTGTCCAGCAGCTGTTTCAAAGCCCTTTCTATGTTCATCCTGTGCCCGACCCGAGTCACCCCGAGATCTATTAGGTCTTCCTTCTGAAGGTTTGGTAGGTGACTGCCATCAATCTCATTGTCCATGAAGGTCTCTTTATGCTCACCCAAGTTTAGACTTTCCAGCCAATCCGCCACGTCTGGTTTAGTCCACAGGTGCACAGGCTTAGTCGTAAAAGGCTTATTTGAGATTGGCTGTTGCAGTATCGAGGGGGATGGCGACCTGCTGCGGCCCACCGGGTTCAAGCCAAACAGGTCCCCAGATGGGGGCTGGCTTGGAAGGCTAAAGACCTCTGAGAGAGTGGGAGAAGGAGTGGCAGCAGCAGCGGAGAGGGGGGCAGGCAGGATCTCTTTGCTCAGCTCTGTTGGCGACACCACAGGGCTCGGGGCACGTCTTGTTCCTGAGGTCCTGCTCTCAAAGTCCGTGGGCCGGCTCTGCAGAGTGATGGGCTGCGAGGTCCCCGGGCGAACCGTGAAGGTCACCGTCGTGCTCCGCGTCCCTGAGACGGTGCTCATGACCTCTGGACTTCTGAAACAACAACAGAGACAACTGTCACCAGCCGGGTCACGGTCTGGGTCAGCGGGATGCTGACCGCCAAGGGTGCGGGGGCGGGCAAGGGGAGGGGGACACTCTAAAGGCAGCTGCACTGGCAGTGAGCAGACGACTTGCCATGCCAGGACCAGGGCAGTGAGGAGGAGAGCAGGAGCCAGAGTTCGGAGAAGACACCACAGCACACCAAAGCCACCCACTCACCTGGCCCCACGCAAGGGCCACCACCGGGCCGGGTTGGTGGGGGGGTGGGGTGCCTGTGCTTGCACCCTGCGAGCAGGGCGGGCCAGACCGGCGTGGCCGGGGAGGCACTGTTGAGGGCTCACTCGAAGACATGAGGACGGGGCCTGCATGAGGTTCTGCTCCCTGGGTGAGCCGTGGCTGGTGACGTCACCAGTACGTCACCCGTATGAGGAAAGGACAACTTCTGTGTCCATTTCGGCGCGGACAAGGCAGAGCAGCCTTGGGGAGAGGCCTTCCCTCTTAACCGCCTGTCAGGCCTTGGGCTTTTCGGCTCGAAAGGCCAAGTGCAGGGAAGGGCCCCTTGCAACCGGCCCAGGTGCCGTGAGGGGGAGGCCTGCAGCTACCTGGGGGCACTCAGGGTTTGAGGAAGCTTTCCATCCACGGACCCTGAGAACGAGGAGTACTTCGCCAGAGTGCGGTCTCGCTGACCCAAAGGGCTAACCCGGCACTGCGGCGAATTTGTCCGGTGTCGGCGGGGCCGTGTGGTCGCGGGCCGGAGTGGGCGCGCTAGTGTGCGTTCTCCGCCCGCACGAAGGCAGCGAGGGAAGCTGTCCGTATGTAGAGCCTCACCGGAAGCAGGAATCTGAAAGGAGCGCCGTTCCCCCAAGCGGCCGGGGGCGATCTGGGAGTCCCCCAGGTGCGTCCTGCTCCGGCCGGGCAGCTGAAGCCGAGCGATCGGCGTGGGGGTACGCTCGTGCCTCTGAGGTTTGGCCTTTACTGGCCCCTGGGAGAAGGCTGAAGGGAGGAGACTGCGTCCTGGTGCCAGGGACGTCTCTGGTCTCTGTGCTCCCTGGACAGGGGTCCCTCCCTGGTTCTGGCCAAGGCCCACGCAGGCTTCCCCACCAAAACGGAATAGCCACAGGTCTGGGCTCTGGTTCGCGCCCTTCTCTGCTGTCCGCACACTGAAAGCGCGTCCACGCCACAGCCCAAGAAGCCACGGCCAGTCGGGGGGTGGCAGGAGTAGGCGCTGTGTTTTCCTTTTGGGCTCATTCATGTGAATGTGGACAGACCACCTTCCCCCTTCCGGAAGGCTCCCTCCTACCACGGTTCCTCCCCGGTATCTGGACTTGAGGCGTGTGAAGCCTGGCTCTGGGCAGTACCAGCGTAGGCACCTTCTAGCCTGTGAGTCTCCTTGTCTTCTCACGTGGTATGGGCTCCTCTCCCTCCCAGGTGGTGAGGGTGGGGGCAGGCTGTGCTCGGGAGCACGTGAAGAGCCACACGGGTGCTGCCTTGGTGGGCGCGACAGGGACTGGGGGGTCTCTGTGCACGGAGGGCTGGGCTGGGCACGAGGCCCGGTTGGCCCGTCCTCTGCCCTAGCTTTTCTTTGGCGCTCTTTGTTTCCTCTGCCACTGACAGATAAGTGGGTACAACCCCCAGCCGGCTACCTGGCTGTGCCCAAGCTTGTGACACTTCTGCACCCGATGGCAGGCCTGGCCGCTTCAAGGATGGGATACGCAAGCGTGGGTCGAGGGACTTGGGCGGACTCCCGCTTCGGTCCTGACACGAGCACTTCCAGGGGCAGGTGGATGTGACTGGGCCAGGGACAGCCACCCCCAGAGTGTCCTCATGTAGCTTCCCGGAGGGCCGCATGCCCCAGGTGGGATCTGGTACAAACAGGAGACCTCCGTCAAGAACTTCCGGGGCTGTGGGTGCTGGTTGCTGGTGTACTGGTTATACTGGCCGCTAAAGGCAGCCCCTCTACCACTGCCAGGGTCGGTTACTCGGAATCTAGAAGTAGGAGCCCCTGTGGTGCCAGCTGTAGGGGCGGGGCACCAGCACCTCTGGGACCTTGGTCAGGTTCTTGAGAGAGAGGGGTGGACGCAGCAAAGGTTTAAGGAGAAACCTGCGCGATCTGCTGCTCAAGCAGGATGGGAAGCCCCACTCCACTTCCAGCTCGGGCCGAGGCACAGGCTGGCAGGGAGTGCGGTGGGATGCCCGGCAAGGTGGCCTGTGCCCCCTCTGTCCGCTCCACAGCACTCGGGCACCTCTGTTTTGGGAAGACTCATTGGTTCTGCTTTGATACAACAATTAAGCTAAGATGGTTGAAATGAAACCATGAGTAGGCGCAAAGCCACTCCATCTGGAGGCGATCTGAGCTGTTAATTAGGGCCTAGAAGCTCTGGGGAAGAGACGAGTGTTTTGTAAAGCGCATACATTACAAGAGCACCTTTGCTCAGGTCTTGCTTTGTTGTAAGAGTCCGGATGTGCTTTTTCCGGAGGTGATACTGCATGGTGCCAGTGCCCGTGCCCTTGACTCTGGGTGGACCCACGGGGCAGCACAGTTGGGGAGGGCCCCCCAAGCCCGGGCCACACTGAACAGTGGGCACCTTTGAGTCAGAGCGCGGCTGTCAGTACCGTCCTCCCCCTGCAAACATCCCAACCAACCCCAGGTAGCTGGGATGGTTGGTTGGTTTGTTTGTTTAGAAAGGAAAGTCTGGCAGGTAGCTGTGTTTGTTGTTGGAAAAAAGAGAAGGCTTTCCAGGCACACTGGTGGGCAGCAGCAGGGACAGCAGCACACACCAGAGAGCGAGGCGCTTTTGCGAGTGGCACTTACTTCTGTTCAGCATGACCCTCTTCTGTGAACGCCCATCACGAGAGCACATGAAAATGACAGAATGGAATGGCTTGAGACAACACTGCAGAATTAATTAAAATTTAAAAAGCAGCTTTTTTCGATGGATGAAATGAAAGCGGGGGTACAGACATCAGCCGAGAACCTACGAGGCTGGTCCCTTTGTGGCCGAGGAGGCAGGCAGAGGGCAGCCCGCCTCGCTGGCCAGACCGGAAGATGAATGTTTAGAATGGGAACTTGCCGACGCCGCCTTCCCTGGCTTGGGATAATGTGAACGTAAAGAAGAAAATTACCCAGGGAAAGCCTGGTGCGAGCGTGAGGACCGCAGTCCTCAGAGGACGAGCTCGTGGCTGAGACCCTGCTGAGGGTGCGTAGTCGTCCTTTGTCTTCTGCAGCCCGGCAAGTCTAAGTCAGCATTCCTGGTGGGGGGAGGGGCCCCGCGGGTACCTGGGCTCTGCTTCAGGTCTACACCTGAACGCCTGGCAGCTAATCACGGGGCAGGGTGGGGAGGGGACACCCCGGATCTGGCCACGCCCTTGGGGCTGGAGGGAAGTTGCCATGGGAAAGAGTCCCCAGAGAGCCCAAGAAGCAGCGCAAAGGCCCTTTCTGGGCTGGCCCATCCTGCCCTCCCTCTCAGCAGCTCGGCTCTCTTGGTTCATCACACCGGCATTATTCACTGGGTCCTCCTGGCTCCAGAGGTCGGGGCGTTGCTAAGCAGCCACTGGGTCCCCGGGCGGAACATGCCGGAGTCTGTCGCCTTGGTTTAGACACAGACACGCACGCGCACACACGCTCTTGGATCAGCACTCTCCACGCGGCCTTTTCAATCTAATCCACATGGAAACAGAATTACAGCAAGAACTGAGAGCTGACTCTCAGAGATGCTCGTTATTTCATTAGCCAGAAGCAGTTAACTGGGGTGGGCCAGGCAGATTCCAGTGGCTTTTTCAGTGTGTTTACAGATCCCATCTGGCTCTCGGGTGGCCACTGAATGCGGCCCAGCGGCCGCCGGGTGACGCCGGCCGGATGTGTCTGTTGTCCTGCACCCGCGCTGGGCAGCAGCTCTGAACCCGTCTGGCACAAGACCCTCAGCGTGCCTCGTCCCGCTCTTGTGGTTTAGTTACCAGGGGTTTCTTGTGTGGACATGGCCCTTACTGCTCAAGTGCTCTTATGAAGTGGCCCTGGGACAGGGGAGGTGGGAGGGCAACCGAGTCATTCCCACACCGGCCTAAGGCCTGAGCACTGCCACCATTGTGTCTCCCTGGCTCCTCGCCTGGGCGGTGTCGGTGCCTCTGCTGCCCAGTCCTCACGGCCGCCACGGGCCCTGAGCATCGCCGGGGGCCTCGGCCCACGGATGTGTGCAGCGTCAGTGTTGCCTCAGTGGGGGGTGGGTACTGTTTAGCTTGTGGCCCGACTGGCATCTTTAAGGGACTGGGAGTGCGGTAGGTTTCTTGGGTCCATCAGGAGCCCGGGTCCTCCTGTCAGAACGTCCACATCCAAGCCAGTCAGGAAGGCACCCCGTTTTCAGGGAGCTGCACCCTGACCTGCTCCCGCTGACCGATCCTAAAATCTAGACCGGGAAGTGAGAACCTAAGAGCCACACTTGCGATTGGCCGCGGGGCAAGCACGGGGAAAGGCTGTGGCTGGACTGGAATGACCCTCCTCCAGCACTGTCTACAAGACAACACACCGAGAGCCCATTTCAAGATGCCCTGTGCATAGCACTCGCCCAATTATCTACACTTCCATTCACTGACGTTTCCTTCCCGTATCGGTTGGGGGCTGTGAAATGGCAAAAACCCCGTGACGGCGTCGAGGTTAAGGGAATGCGCTTCCGCTGCTTCTGTTACTGAGTTAGCTTTGAAGTCCGTGCTTCGGGACCAGCTGGGCGGAGGTAATTTTTTAACAACCCAAATTGATTGATTTTAAAGCCAAGAGGCTCTCATGATAATTCTGCAGAGCTGGGGAGGCGCTGGAGGCATCAGCCAGGCGAGGGCGGATGCAGGGTTTGGCTCTGTGAGGCCGAGGAGGATGGCCTTCCTCCCCCGAGCCCATCTGGGCCCCCAGGAGGTAGAGGTCAGGCCGAGAAGAGCTGGAGGGGCCTTGGGATCTGGCGGATCCTGTACCCTGTGGACAGAAGCTGAAAGGGGACCCCCACAAGCTTACGTCCACTGCTCGCTCCCCCTGGCACACACAGGATGAAAACAAGACTGACTCTGTGTGGCCACAGAAGCGTTGGACACAGAGTGGCATGTCTGTCTTGCTCTGGAAACGATGTCTGGGTTGTCTGGGCTGCCAGTCAAAACGCGGACGTCAGGCAAATGGAGTTGCCATTCTGGGTTCCTGAGGCCCCTGGCCTTTGAATCTGCCCCTTGGTCTACAGAGCGCAGGCCCCCCGGCCTTGCACACGGACCCCGCCCCAGCTGGTGAAGGGCACCTGTGCCACCCTGAGAGCTGCTGCGCTGGGCGGCTGCCGGTAACTGTGACACGGTCAGGTCACACAAAGCCTGGGACGGCCACCTTCTTGCAGGACGCACACAATCCCGCTCTCCCTCCTCCGAGGCCTGCCAGGCCTCCCTCAGCAGGGCAAGTACCTTCCGGCCTCCAGGCTTTGTGCCCCTGTTCCTGTGCCTGGGATGCTCCACTTCTGGCTGTCCACACACCTGGCTCCTTTCTGTATTTCCCATCATTCCAAGGTCACTCTCTTAAGGGCTGTCACCGTCTTCCTGCCCACGTTCACTCGGACTTGGGGGTCAGCCCCTTTCCTTCATCACAGTGGTGTGCTTGGATTTCTGTTTCTTACTTCCTGTCCGTCTTCCCCCTTGAGAGTGCAGCTGCCCACGGAGAGGCCTAGAATGTCTCCCGGAGCAGGGACGAGCCCCGAGGCTCAGCACGGCCCCTGGCGCGGGAGAGGTCACTGCCAACTTCGTGTCCGCTGCCCAGCCTCCGAGGGCCCAGGCCTCTGCGGGAGTGTATCCCTCCCGCTACTCTCCACCCTCAGGGCTGGCCCTGGGGCCCTACAAAACAGCAACTCGGGGACTCCTGGCTGGGGACTCAGGAGGCCCTGGGCTGGGCCAGGCTTCCAGGCTCAGGAACGGAGTGTCAGGAACGGCTTCCCAGCTCTGTCCCCGGGGCGCAGGCGGGGCTGCACTGGGCCCCATGACTTCAAGCAAAACACCAAGTGCTCCAGAATGGGGAGGAAGCCGCTGGTGCAGAGCCCTCCACCATCACCACGAAATCCTTGGGGACGCAGATCACCAAAGGGCTTTGAAGAGGAGAAAGTGCGCGTGGGAAGGACGTCCTTGAGGCCGTGGGTAGCACGTTCGCCGGCGTCTGTTCTAAGGGGAGCGCGGCCGGCCGCCCTCCTGATTCAGAGCTTCCTGGGAAGGGCTGGGGCTCGCAGACGCCCTCAAACCACTGCTGTCTTTGCTTTGATCCAAGCTGGTCTTCTCTTCCACGACGAGGTCACTTCCTGGAAAGGTCGGGCTGGGCGGCGGAAGGACCGCTTTCCCCAGAGCTGCCAGGCCACTCCCGGCTCAGTGGGGCGTCTCCAGGGGGCGGAGGAGGCGTCTCCAGCCTTGGTGCTCAGCAGACTTCTCCATCATGCTCTCGCCAGCCCAGCCGTAGCCAGGGCGTCTCCAGATCCCGTGTCCTCTCTGGTCTTGAGGACAGACAGGAGCTGTGTGGCTCAGGTCAAGCCTCACGTCCTCAGGTGGGCAAGGGTCCCGTCCCACCCTGGGCTCTACCGAGAAGTGAAGAGTCTCGCCTCAGTAGCTAGAGGCAGCCAAGGGGGCTGGTAACCCCGAAGCGGTGAGCCCCAAAACTCGAGCTCTTGGGCGAGCGAAACAGTTTCTGTGGGGAGAAGGTTTGTGCGCGTGCTCGCTTCTCGCTCTCCCTGGAGAACCTGCTTCTCAGGAGGCCACCCCGCGTGTCGGTCCGCGCCCTGGCCGCCAGGGCCACTCCCAGCCCGAGGTCCTAGATGTGACCGCAAATCACGGTGAGCCACCCTGGCAGGTGGCTTCCAAACGGGCAAAGACCCAGGTCTGTCAACCAAGGCTTGCATCCGGCCCAGCAGCCGTCACCCCCCTCACTCTTGTCAGCAGCTTCACGGCCGCACCTCACAACTGCTTAGGGCTTTGCCCCGTGAGGCTGTGCAGTAGTTAAGCCACAGTAGCTGGTGGAAGGCCCCGTGGGGTGCCTGAAGGCGATGACCTTCCTCTTTGCCCTTGGGGCTCGAGGCCAGCAGATGCCCAGGCCAGCTCAGTCCACCCCTGGCTGAGAGCCGAGCGTAAGATGCCTGGTGCCCAGCAATGCCGGGGCTGCCGTCGGCCACCGGGTCACCGAAGAGAAGGGCTCTGGCAAGCAGGCGGGCTCAGGTGGCCCGCAAAGGCCTGGGGATGGCCTGCCCTCGGGGATCTCAGCCCTGCGGACAGCTCGGGCAGCCGCCCCTTCCTTCCAGGCTGATCCCTGGCTCCCACAACGGCTCACGAGTGGAACCCCGAGATGCTCCCTGGGTGGGAGGTTGGGTCTCTGCCTTCAGGTGGGCGGCCCCGGCCACGCGCTCCGCTTCTCTGACCTTCAGTCTGTTCGTGTGCGCCCGGGAGATCATGGCAGGCCCTGCGTCAGCAGTGCCCGTGCGGCGGGATGCCCAGCAGCTGGGGAGGCCTGGATCGATGTCGGCTGATGTTCTCATCGCAAGGGACTGGGCTATAAATAACAGAGCAGACCGGAGGCGGCTGTCCTTGGCTCTGAGCATCGCTTGGAGGTGGTCCTGCAGCTGTTCTCGAGAAATCCAGCAGGATTCTGCCAGGTGACGTCTGCTCTGAGGCCCCTCCCACTGAGGGAAACGCAGGTGGGGAAGCCCTCGGGACACGTGCGGCTCGACACCCGCTCTGCCTCCTGCCCCTGGGGGCTCACATGGTTGGGAAGGGAGTGGAGGTGGCGAGAAATCCGGAGGCCCCTGGATCGGGGTGGGAGAGCTCGGGGCAGGGGGCTCAGGCCCTGAGCAGCCCTCGGGTCACGCCTTCAGACCCTTCCGAGCTCAGACACTGGCCACGAGGGGAAGCGCCAGGCCAGGCCCTCGGCCCGAGTCCGGGCCCGGTCTCCCGCCGTGCATGGGGCCCGGCTGGCCCGCGCCCCACTTCCCACTTCTGGAGAATGGGTACAGTCAGTGCCCGCTCCCCTGCACTCGTGGGCCAGCGTTCCGGAAGAACGGGAAGCACTAGAGAGAGCTCCTCCTCGTGCCTCACGTGACGTAGCAGCAAAGCACTGTATTCTCACGCACCGGGAAAGGGCAAAACTGGCCAGCTCTAAGACCTTCCTTTCAAACTTCCAGGTATATGGTATTTGTAGGAACGCGTGTGCAGGTGTCCGCCAGGAACGGGGACTTTGTGCGGACTGCCTCTTCCGCCCGCGGGGTTGCGCGGCGTCCCGGCTAGCGGTAGAGCTGCCATTAAAAGACGGAGTGTGGCCCTGCTTCTCTCTACCTAGGCGGGCCCGCCAGTATTCCTCCGGGCCTAACGGGAGCCATGCGAGTCATTTATTTGCATCCACGCTGAAGGGTAGCTGGGAGAACTATGGCTCTCGGCCCAGCCGCGGGGGGGTCGCTGGTTAATGGGGGGAGACGTTTGAGGCAAACGCCTGTCCGGAGGGAGCGTGAAGAAAGACTCGGTAGTCAAAGCGACGCGACCTGGGCGCGGACAGAGGCGTGGGGCAGGGAACGGAGTGCGCCCCGGGAGCAACGCCCAGCACGGGGAGGGCCTGGGCAAGCGAACGGCTCTGGTGAGAATCACCCCCGAGCTCCAGGCAGAGCGCGAGGGGCCTCCTCGGGGCCTTCCGGCTCCGTTTAGACGTGACCCTCACCCCACCCCCAGCCGCGGCGGCAGCACCTCGGACGCTGCGCGAACCATGAATGGTCGCCCTGGGGAGACGCGGACGGCCTCTTCCGGGATGCCTGCTTGAGGGCTGGGCTGGTGGGGGTGGAGGGGGGCGTTTTCCTCTGAGCCCACTTGTGAAGCCGCCACCTGGCACCTTCCCCGGCTCTCCAACCCGTCTGCTGGGAGGAAGCGAGAAGGATCCACGCACACCTGGCCACGCGCAGGCCGCCGCCCCACTCACTCTCCTTTGGCAAGGCTGTTCCCTGCCGCCAGCCGGCGGAGCTCGGTTTGAGCGTCTGCGAGGCTCCAGAATGACCGCACAGGGGGTCCTGGCAAAGTTCTGGAGGACATGGGACGACAGGGACCAGAGCTCCTCTTGAGAAGCCGTGGTGGGGCTGGCCCTGCGTGGCTGCATTTTAATACAGGTCTTGACTCGGGGAGTGCCGCGTCCTGCCGGATGGCCGAGGGTGCGCTCTGCCGGGCTGGGCTCCGGGAGGGCGGGGCGGACGGTGCGCAACAGTGCGGCCAGCACAAGGCCTGATGGATTCCCCGCTTCACGTCCACTCTGGCTGCTCCCCGGGGGCCTTTCCTGGTCGGCCCCGACTGGACGAGACAGGAAAGCCGGCACGGGGCAGTCTGCGTCTGAGCCAACTGTGGGACTTACCTTGGAGCGAGGCTGGCAGGCTTGGTTCCTGTGGGCGAATCCAATCCTTCCCCCGGCTTTGCCGATTTCTCTCGGTTCATTTGCTGCAGGATTGAGTTCAATTCACTGATCACGTTTGCCTTTGGGCCTGAGCGAATCGGGCTTCTGACCTCGGACACGTCCCCCCACAACTTGGAGGTCCTTGGTGGCGTGACCTTCGTGGCCCCAGGCTGGGCGCTGCCCGGCGGCGGCGGGGGTGCTGGGGGAGGGATGACGAGGCTATCCACGTCCTCCTCCGCTAGCGCGTCCTGATAAAGTGTGGTGTTTTTGGGAATTACGGGCTTCACTTTTGGCTTCGGAGGTACTGGGGGCTTGTCCGCCGTAAATGCCTGCCCGTCTGCATAGACTGTGCAGGTGTCCACGTTCTCCCCGCCTTCGGAGGACAGGGTGGACATGCTGGACACCGTGGAGATGGTGCTGGTTGTCTCGAGATGGTGGTCACTGCTACTCCGGCTGTCCACCTCCTCGATCCCAGAGTCCGTGACCACGTCAAAGTTCTCGGGGGGCGGCAGGAAGGAGGCAGGCAGGCAGTTGGAAAGGCCAGCCGGCTTCTTACTGTCTGCACAGTTGGCTGGTTGGCTGGGGTTCAACGAAGGGGACTGGGAGGCGTCCTGTTTCTTCTGCTTGACCAGGTCCGTGAGAGCAGGGACAGAAGCGATGCGGTCATCGGGGATATCAAAACTATTTGCGAATTCCAGGGGGGGAGGCAGTGGCTCTGTAAAAATAAAATCCTCATCCAGATCCACGGATGCCAGAGGGGGAGGAGGGATGCGGAATGGCAAAATCACCGTCTCTTCCACAGAGCCTGCTGCCGCGATGGTCCTGCCAGGCACGGCGGCGGCGGGCTCGGGGCTGGCGGAGATCTCTAAAGCACCTTCGGTTTCGGGAGCGCCTTCTGGCCCCTCGGGCAGCGAGTGGTCTGGCGTGGCCTCCCCGTCGGCTTTCTCGTCCTCTTCCTGCAGCAGGTGGTCGGTGGTGGCCGCGCCCACAGTGTGGACCATCAGCAGGCCGGCCGACCTCTGCTGGGACGTGTCCACGATGTTGATGAGCGCGTGCTTCTTGTCCTCGCCCTTGCGGTCCTTGCCCAGCTCCGTCTCGTACTTGTTCTCGGTCTCCTGCCGCCTCAGGGGTCCCCGTGTGTTCTGCCTGGTGACCGGAGGGAAGCCTGCTTCCACGCTGGGCCGCATTTTGGTATCGATGTAGAGAGGTTTGTGGAGGTCGGCCTTGGGGGCCTCCCCCTTGGGACCCTGTTGGGACTCCTTCATGGCTCGGTCCCTTGCAGACAGCGCCAGGGCCAGCGGGGAGCTGGGGTCCAGCAGCCGGCCTGTGAGCGGGTGGACGTAATTCTCGGGGCCGGCTGTGCTGCTGCTCTTGGGGGGCACTGCAGGGCTGCCCTCGGGACCCTTGGCTTTGGATGTGGAATTCAGCGGCCTGCCGGCCTCCCCCTGAGCTGCGGCCTCGCCACCACCCACGAAGTGGTTCTCGGGCTCCCTGGGCAGTGCCACCGGCGTGGGCAATGACAGCGGCTCGGCGTCATCCTCCTCGCCGAAGCCGACCTCTTCGGGGAAGTTGGAGGGGTGTGCCCGGGCAGCGGGTGGCCCCAGTCCAACGTCCTCGTCCCCCAGGTCTGTGGAGAGGAAGGCCGGGGAGTTCCTCCTGGCTTCCAGCCGCTTCTCCCGGTCGCGGACAGCCCCAGCGATGGCGGCAGCGAAGGGGCTGCTGACGGTCAGGCTGTCGTCAGGCCGCAGCTGGCCCGGCGGCTCCGGGGCCTGCGGGTCGATCTCCGTGCTGCTGCCCTGGCTGCTCTTCCCACTGCTGCTGGTGGAGGGCTCCTTCACGATGATGGTCGGGATGGGGATGGAGCACGTCTTCTCAGGGCTGTCCTCCACATTGGACTGCTTCACCAGCATGCCCTTCCGCCGAGCGGGCTTGGCGGGGACGTACACGGCTTTGCTCGCGATCCTCCCCACCTCCGAGTACGGGTTTTCTGGCATCTGGCCTCTCTTGGCGCGGAAGTTGGCCTGGGCGGCGGCGCTGCGACTGTACAGGTCGTCGGAGTCCAGGGAGTAGCGGTCCAGCTCCCGCCGGTAGTACAGCCCCTTGTCCCTCATCACCGTGGCCACCGTGTCCGAGCGAGCCGCGGGGGGCACCTTGGCAGCGGGGTTCTGACTGAACGCTGGCTTGATGGTCCCGTAGACTCTTGGGGTTGGGGACTTGGGGCAGTTGTAGGTGGTGGGGGATGGGGGTGGGGGGGATGGGGGCACAGACTGCGGTGGGGGCGGGATGTCCTCAGAGGTGTCCGGCATGGACAGGCTTCTGGTGAACTTCAGCATCGGAGGGGCCAGAAACTGCCGCTCTTCCTCCGTTATTCCTGCAAGGAGAAGGCAGGCTTAGTTTGCAGCCATGACCGGGACTCCCCACCAAGCTCCTAGGTTTGTGCCACGCATACGTCTGCACACCACAACGAACCACCGAGCACACGTGTTCACGGAGCACAGCACAAGCCACACGCCAAGAGCTTACGTGGCCCAGCCGAGCCCCCCAAGGAAACGACAGGAAACCGGGAAAGAAAAGAAAACAAGAGAAAGGTGCTGGGAGGCATTGAGTGCGTGCTGTTGAGGTGTTCTGTGTGCGGCGCCCAGAGCAGCAGCGGGGAGGGATGCGCGGGGCGGGGCAGGTGCCCAGGGCCCCAAGCTGCGTGCCAGCACGTGGGTGTGCGTGAACACGCTGGGGCTGGGCTGGGGCAGGACGCATCTGTCCCGTTGGGCTTGGCCAGGTCCGTGTGACATGGTGGTGCTGCTGCTGAGGGGCCCCAAAGCTGGCCTTGCCCAAGTGACAGGAGCTCGGTTTGTCACCTGGGGCCTTGAGGGCATTGGGGGTCCGTCAGGAGGACAGCTGTGAGGCAGCTTTGACACACCTGTGAGGGGAGGGGGTCCAGAGTCCTCTCTAACTCAAGACCCCAGCCCCAGCCAGGAGCCGCTTCTGGAGCAAACCCTGGGCCACTGGCCCCAGGAGCCCCTCTGGGTCATCCTAAGACCCTCTGCGCTGGGCTGAGGGGCCAGGAACTCTCCACCGTCACCGCTAACCCGGGTCCGCATTCGGCAGACGTGGCAGCAAGTCAGGGTGCCCCCAGGACCCGACGTAGTGGAGCAGCACCTGTTGGGTACGAATGTGCCGAGGGGCCTGCTGTGGTGATGGCGGGCATCTAGCCTCACTGGGCCCGGCTTCTCTGTGCGGGTCAACTGGGCAGGGCTTACAGACTCTTTCCCACGGCCTGAGACAGTGAAACATCAACAGAACGCACTCCCGGAGACGGGAAGGGACACACACACGGACAGATGGGAGGGACTCGGGTCTCACGCTGGCGGCATGCAGGTGTCCAAAGAGGTAACGGAATGAATTACTTCAAATAAAAAAAAAAACCTTCTAGGACAAACTACAATAATTTACTCCAATGAAATTTTCCATTCGATAAGGGTATTCCCAATTTAACGTACTCCTGTGGGAGGGTGTTTGGTATCGAACAGACGGACTGCTAAAAGGCCTTCTTGACCATTTGCTACACACGGGTTGCCCGACGGTGAAGTTCCCAAGGAGTAATAATTTAAGAATACGCCTTATAGAGTAAGTGTAGGGGTTGCATTCAGATCACAGATTCCAAACTGTAAGGTTCACTGACCTGATAGAAAGATTCTGCTGTCTGACAGGAGGAAATCAATTGTTATTAACCAGGTACAGAGCCAGGGACATAACACGGCGTCTTTGCTACTCTGTGGTGGCCCTGTGCACCTGGGAGGGCGAGTTTTAGGAGCCAGATGCCACCACAGTCACTACTGGATCACTGCCTGTGAGCCACCGCACACTGGTGACAAAGGAGCCAGGCCCCCAAACAACAGCGCAGGGGGTGCTCCCAGAAACCACCCCATGGTGTCCCCAAGGGCTGGCCTGGGATGGCCGTGTCCAGTGGTGTCCAGCAGTGGCAGCTCCTTTGAGAATTTACGTGGTAAAGACAGTGCTGGACTGTCTCACAAAGGGGCTGCCTGGCAGGGTCACAGTCACCTTGCCTGGAAGCATCAGTAGGTGTCGCTGGGACATTAACAAGGAGGCAGGCGGCTTTCCATGACACAGGTACACTGGTTTATCCGAGTTCTAGAACCTGGCCCCCCACCCCCGGAAGTGATCCACGAGCTCGCCGTGAGAAACGTGGCAGATTCGTTCCAGGCAATGCAGGGAAGGTGGGGATTGCACTGAGCATGGTCCCTCCACCTGCCACCCTGATCCCGGTGGGGTGAGGGATGGCTTCCCAGACCACCCGATCTGCCCCCTGCCTCCCTCCTGACGTGGGCCCCTTCACCCTGCTGGTGTTAGCACAGATAGTGCGTTTGCAAGGCTGGACTTTGTTCCAGCAGGTAGAAGGGTTCCAGTCTGCTGGGGCGTTCGGAGGCCCCTGGTGAGTGGCCCTGGGGGTGGCTAGGGCAGGCCTGGCGGTCGGCTCTGCCCTGGGGGCTCTGAGGGCTTCTCTGAGAGCCAGGGGGAACCTCTGTGGGTGTAGGCCGCGCTTCTTACCTATTGATTTCTGCCTTCGCATCGTACCTCGGGGGAGGCCCAGAAATGGGCCTTTCGGGCTCCCGGGAACCGTGGGCGTCATTACAGCAATCCCCTGTCGTTCGTACACGGACTGCAAACCAGAGAGCCCAGAGTGAGATGGTCCCCTCCCAGCCCCACCCATGGCAGCTAGGCCCAGAGGGTGTCACAGCAGCCCTGGGCGTGGGCACCTGTCATCTGGCTTCGTGTGCCGCTCCCAGCAGCAGGCTGTGTCCATCTGAGGCTGATGGGACACACCAGCTTCAGGGACCCCGGAGAGGCTCTCCCCGAACACTGCCCACTGGCTCCTGCTCTCTAAGCGCTAGCGTGCTCGGTGGAGCCGTGGTCTGGCCAACCAGCCGGAGAGAAGAGGCCCGGGCCGATGCTGTGTAGGAGCAGAATGCACACAGTGGCGGCCGGTGCAGGAGCCTCGGCCTTCCTCCGCAGCACGGGAGGGGTGGGTCGGGGGCTGGTGTGGGTGAGCCAGCTGCTGGGCTGCCCCGGCGCTCCCGGGCCGCTCGGGCACAGAGGCTGCAGCAGGTGGGCCGGCGCAAGCTAGGGCTTACCTCCTTTACTTGGGAGCAGGTTCCTGAGCAGTCCCCAGCCAACCTGCCCCTTACCCGTCTATACGGGGCTGCCGGCTGCCCCCTCCAGCCCACGGCATCGGAGGGCGACTCTGAGCCTGGGGGTAACGGCTGTGGGCTCTTGCACATCTTGTGCTCAGGGCCCCAGAAGGTCTTCCTACCCACCGTGTCCCCCCCTGGGGTTCAGGGCATCTGCCTGGCTTTCTGGAGGCCAAGACCGGGCTGGAGAGCATTGGGGCCGGGGGAGGGGGTAGCGGGGGTGGCACTTGAGACACAGCCAAGGCTGCAAACAAGGTAGGCAGCAAGGATGGGGGCACATCCTGGGGGATGGCTGGCCCTGCATGGGGAGGTTGCCTGGAGCTACTGGGAGTGCCCCCGTGGGGTTCTGGAGATGATGGGGGTCCCGGGGTGAGCATGTCCACTGTCATCACTAGCAGTTGCTGCTGTTTGAATGTGCGCCATGCAAGGCTGTCCTATCCGGTGAGTGATGTTTGCGGGTGACGGTCTAAGACGAGACTAGGGGAAAGCGAGTGACTCATTGTGAGGTGGGTTCTGAGAAGGCACTAAGGAACCGTGACTGGGACACTCAGACCTGCCACGAGGCACGGAGACCGAGTACAGGAGACAACGAGGAGCACCCGCCCACACAGCCCAGAGCGCATGAGCTCCCCCTGCCGGGACGCCCCCCCCCACCCCCGCCGCCATCCCCCGGGGCATGGCCACTCACATTCATGTCCGAGACGGACGGGAAGCACCGGCTGGTGGGCCGCTGCTTGATGGTGGCCACCCTGGACTCCATGGCCACGTTATCAGCAGCGCGGGATGGCTTGGAGGCCGGGACTATCTCCTCGGGTTTATCTGCAGTGGAAATGGTGGTGGGAGCGGGAGTCAGTGGGGGAAGCCCCTGAAACCACCAGGCCTGCCTCCGGCAAGGCGCCCTCCCTACACACGTGCGCAGCTGTGTCCCTGCTCCGGCCTTGACCATGCAAGCAGGCGCACGGCACCCGGCGTGGGGCACGTATGCGTCGGTCTGCCTCATGCACGCACACCGTCACCCCGGGGAGGCGCACACAGACCAGACGCAGTCTCAGTCCCTGGGGCCCCACACTCCCTGAAAGTCACATCTTCACTGGGGCCGCTTGGATTCGTGCCCACGGGACTTACTCTTGACCGGGTGAACTAAACCAGCGTCAGGAATCTTGTTAAGAGCTCGGAGGCAGGCTGCCGTGTAACGAGATGCAGTTGCGGGGTGTAAGCCCTACGGCCCAGGGCTGGAGGCAGTGGGCGCAGCCAGGCGGGCCGCATAGCCAGGCGGGCCACGCCGGCAGGATTGGGGGGCTGGCTCTGGGGGCAGCTCTGGAGCCGCTTGGGGGGGCAGTTCAGGGGCTGCTCGGGGGGCCGGCTCCGGAGGCCGAGCCCTTGCTGCTTGGGCAAGACCCGATTTCCCAACAGTACCACATGCTCATTTCTTTGTGAAAAAGAAAGTAAAGCGTTAGTTACAAGTGATTTTTACAAATTAAAAACTTAAGAAAATTAGTAACTAAAAAATTTTTAACTTTTTTGGTTAAACTTGTAAGCTTCAGACTTGAAAACATTCCAGAATTGCTCTGACACCCAGTTTTATCTGGAGGGGGCCTGAGATGTGCAGAGCAAGTGTCTTCAGTGGGGTGCGCCCCAGCCACCCTTCCAGGAAGATTGTGGCCACGTTAGCACGAAGCCAGTGTGAGGGGCGCCTGGTGGGAACCTGTTTTGAACCTGGTTAGGCACAGCACTCTCCTTGCTCCCCCAAGGCTATCTAGGCCACAGTCTGAGGCCTCCTAGCATCCTCAACCTTTTGGGGGGTCTCGTGATGCCCCGCAAAGTGCACGCCATCGCAAAGACCCAGGCCCCTGGGGCCTTGCCCCTGCCTTGAGCTGCGAGGTCAGCACGTGAGTGCTGGAGCAGACGGGATCTCTGGACGTCAAGTCATTCCCGTTGGGTGGGACAGCCACTTGTAATGGGGACTTCCCAAGAGGAGCTAGCCCCCTGGAAAACCTCCCCAGAACCCCAACACTTTCAGAGCCCCAGACCAGGGAGTGGGTACGTGGGGTGGGGGTACCTGGGGTCCTGGCAGGCAGCCACCAGTGCCAGCCCAGCCTCCCAGAGCGCCCGGAGCACACATGGGTGAGACTCGGACATCTGCGGGTAGCTACAAGGCTCCTGACTCCAGAGCTGTGTCCTGGGCCAGCGGTTAGTACCCTGTGGCCCTGGGCTCAAACCCTGCCTGCCATTCTCCAGGCACGTAGGCTGTTTACATTTTTAAGAGGCTGTGAAAAGAAGGGGCAGGAGAATGTGCCAGAGAGTCTGGGCCTGCAAAGCATGAAACTCTCACTGTCTGGAAGACGCCGGTGCCTGGCTGGGACCCTGCCCCAGGTCACCTGCCACTGAGCCATGAGCCCAGGGTTCAGGCAGAGGGGTCTCAGGGAGGCCCTCCCCCACGACACACACAGACTCACGCCTGCGTCTCCCACGTGAAGACCTGCTCTTTCCCTTTGTCCTGCCCTGTGGTCCGGGCGGGCCTGCCGAGGGCATTTCCTGCTCCTCGTGGGTGCTGGGGGCGCTGGTAAGCCTTGGTCCTTTAGGGAGTTGGTCAGAGACACCCACACCTCTGGGTCATTCTATCCCCAGCCCACCTTCCTCCTTATGGCTCCTGGAGCTGTCCTGTCCTCCTCACCAGTGCTCAGAGCCACGGAAATGCCACTCATCCCCTGCCCCCCACAGCTGCTTCCCCTTCTCCTTTCTCTCCTGCCCTCTTCCCTCTGCTGTGCTGTGTGCACCCCATGATCTTGGAAAGATGCTTCCTTCAGGAAGCTGTCCGCTCTCTGGTCTGGGGCAGGACTCCTGCGGCTGGGCTCTAACTCGCTCTGCAGCCTGCCAGCCGGGCCGCGCGCCCTTGACCACGGCTCGGGCCGCTCACGGACGGTGGTCCGGTGGGCTTGGTTAGCCTCCTTGGTCCTCGTGGCCTGTGCCTGGAAGCCGGCCCCTCGTGACGGCTGTCGGTCTGCTTCCATTCAGGTGCAAGGATTCAGAGCTGTGAGCCGGTCTGTGGGTCTGGCCTTCACCGCGGCCCACACAGCTCACTGAGGCTCCCTCTTGGACCTCTGGAACCTGGAGCCCCAGTCCTCCTGTGGGCGGCCCTGCAGGTGGGGGCACTGGCGGTGCCTCTGGCCGCGTCGAGCAGGGAGCCTGGGGCAGGACGCTGTCCTGGGATGCAGAGCTAACCGGCAGAACCTTGGCGAGCCTCCTGTTTCTAGCTCTTGCTTTGGTTTGAACTCCCTTCCCCCCACATGCTGTGGGTCCACTGTGCGGTATCGGGGTGCCGCCTGGGATCTTCACGTGCCCCAAATATGCAGGTGGCAGACTGACCGTGAAGCTTCTGGGCACATGGCAGTCACCTAAAAAATAAGCCTTCGATGCTGGGCACGTCAAGGTGAGGCCAGGCCCATGTTAAGAATCGTCCCTGGTGGAAATTCTGACTGCCTCACTTCTAACCCTAATGAGAACCTGGAACAATCCGGATCTGAGGAGCTGAAGGTCATGCAGGTAAAAGCCAGGGACCAGGTGGTGGGAGCTGGAGCTCCAGCTGGGGTCATCCAGCCTCTGTGCCCCCACCTTCGGCCAGGGGTGCCGAGCCCTGGCGGGCAGTGGACATCTAGGATCGCCGTCAGAATGGTCTGCCTGGTTGAGCTGCTGGCGGTCAGGGCCCTGTCCACACCACACTCACCCGTGACGAGAGCCACCTTGAGCAGATGGCCTTGTCTGTGTTGCGTGCCCGGTCCTCCGGCCTCCACCCCGGTGCACCTTGGAGCCAGCATAGCAGAGCATGTGGGCTTGTCGGGGGCAAGGCTGGGAGTCACTGCTGCTTCGGCGAGAGCTACTTAGTGTGGCTTGTGACTCGCACAGACATGGTTCCCCGGGGGGCCTGGGTCCCCTCCTGGCTCCGGTCTTTGAGGGAGCTGCCCGCCTGGCTCAGGACCCGACTTGGGACCACTCGGCCCGCGTCTCTGCAGGCTTGTCTACCAGGCCACGAGCCAGGGCTGTGAGGCTCTCAGGATTATTGTGTTTCAGTGACAAAAGCTGGGGTTTGGGTCTCTATTCAGGGTCTCCGGATGAAAAGGATTAGTGAGTCCAGCCCCCTGCAGTCCTAAAATGAGATACTCTGTGGCTGAAAACAGTCTTGCAGACACATCTGAAAACCGGCAAATCTTAGAAAACTGGCTGGGGGAGTGCTGATGAGGGAGCTGTACTATAATTTTCTAAGCATGTTTATGGTCTGCTTAGAGGATGGGGTGATGCTCACCGTCCATTAAGGGCAAGCTTCCCGGCGAGGGGACGAGCGCGCTCTGGGGGGAGGGGGCGGGTTTGGCAGCACAGTGACGAGGGCGCCGTGGGAACCAGAGCAGGGAGGGCCAGAGCGTCAGGAGTCCCTGCCACCCCGTCCTGGAGCACACCCTTGACCGCAGGCAGGCTTCAACACGAGTCACCCCGTGGGCCCTGAGCCCTCCCACTGCAGAAACCCACGCCCCACGAGCCAGACCTCGGGGTGAGACCCTGGGCAGGAGTTCCTCTGCAAGGGGAAAACACAGACCCCACCAGCCCCAGAGGCTGACACCAGCTGCGGCCAGCTGGACCCCCTCTGGCTCAGTTTCCTCAGGAGGCGTAGAGGCGTGGGGAGGGCCGCTCTGACCCCAGCTGGGCTGTTCCTGGCCTGAGGGCCCCCAGGCATCTCCCGCCTTCCATGGGATGGGTCTGTGGGTGCAGCCAGAGGTGCCGGTAGGTTGGGTGAGGCCGGTGCCACCATCCAGCCTGGCTCTCACCCTGAGCCACCTGGGGCTGGGGACTCTCCTGGTGGCCCGTTCACCCTTGTTCCCACAAGCACGCTGTTTGGGGACTAGGGCAGGTCCTGGAAACACTGGAGGACAAAAGCAAGGGGTTCTTGAGACGAGGAGCTGGAAACTGACAGCAGGCGTCGGCCCGGAGGGGCTGGGGGCTTCTCACAGCCGTGATAGTTTCCTAGAACTGCTGTGGCCAGTTCAGGACAAAAGGAGTTTATTCTCCATCAGCCTGGAAGCCAGAATCCCCAAATCAAGGCGTCGGCAGGATGGTTCCTCCTGGAGGCTCCGGGGAGGATCCTTCTCTCCTCCTCCAGGTCCCGGGGCTCAGTGTTCGCTCCTGGCCCCTCCGAGCTCGGCCTCTGCGGCCTCCTGTGTGCGTCTCTCTGCCTCTCCTGTGAGGTCATGGTCACAGTCCAGTATGGCCTCATCGTGACTACATCTGCAAAGGGCCTGCTTCCAGATAGGGTCCCTTTCCTAGTTCTAGCTGGATGTGGATTTGGGGGGGACAGTATTCAACCAGTGTGATGTAAAGGCCTGGCTTTCCCCTCATGCACGCGGCCCCTCTGGAGGCCCGAGAATGCTTCTCAGGAGGTGAGCCCAGTGCCCCAGGAGAGTGTGGTGGGGCAGGAGCTTCCCTACACGCCCACCGGTGTTGGATGCTCCCGGCTGCGTGAGGCCGGACTGTTAGCTGGCACGGGCCCCAGAGCTCTGCACTGCACCCCACAGTGCCCCGGGAGTGGGGTGGGCCATGGCCGCTGGGCCCATTGGGGTCTTGTGCGCACACCTGCCTCCTGCTCTGGCCAGGGTCAGGAAATAGGGGGCAGGGGCACTCAGCCTCGAATTGCATCCAGTCTTCTCTGCTCTGGAAAGCAAGGTGGGTCCCTTGCCTGTCCTCTGTGTTGATTCTCCTCTGGGCCATGCTGGCCGTAGGACCGTGACTTGTCTTTTCCCACAGTGTGGAGTGTCTGGCTGCCGGAGGCGCCCTTAAGGGAGGAGAGCAAAGTGGACGGGGCCTGGAGGGTGCAGAGGACTTCCTCGGCCGGCTCTGCCACGCGGTGCGGCTCCTGGGAGCGGGGGGCCTTCTTCAGGATGGCATGGCAGACAGCAAGTGACGGCCTGGACCGAAGGGGCGCTCGGGGACGGAGGCAGTCCCGGGAAGCTTTCTGTGTCCTGGGCACCCACCGCACGGCTGACACGGTGACCCTGGGAGTTTCCAGGGCAGCCTCTGGGGGCGGGGGGTGGAGGCCGGAGAGGGGAGAAAGGAGGCGCTCCGTCTTGGCACTCCAGGACCTGTGATCCTGTCCCCAGACGCCGCCCTGTTGGATTCTCAGACCCACCCCTCGGTTCCAGCCTTCAGAAGGCTGCCGTGTGCCTTTGCCTCAGTGCCTAGGGCCACATGACGGGGTCCACTCTGCACCCTCCCCCACCCCCAAAAGCAGTTTTGAAATTACTCGGCTTTTAGTTGTTGGGGTGGTTGTCTCTAGCAGCCATGTAAGAAACACCCCAGAGGGGAAGGAGGGGCCTGAGTCCATCGGGGCCCTCGTGGGGCAGGTGTCTCTGCTGTTCATAGCACGGTGACCGTGCCCCACCCCATGCCTGTTGGCTCCCTCCTCTTGCCAGCTCAAGCACAGCATGGCGCGGGACTCTGAGAGAGCCAGGGGCTCTGCTGGCCTGCTTCCGACCGCTTGCGGTGAGAGGCCGTGGCCTGGACACAGCATAGAGGCTGCTGGCCGGTAGGGCAGGCCCGGCTGTGACAGCCTGAGGGTCCCATGGCCTTCCCAGTGATGATGGTGAGGACACAGCTCTGGGGGGACGGGACGCACAACACGCGGAGGGGCGAGGAGCCACAATGGGAGAAGCAAAGCAGACAGGACAGACTGCAAAAGGACGTGGTCCGGAGCTGGGCCCTTCTGCGGCCCCGGCACAGGGAGGACACAACGCGAGGTCACAGCAGTCTAAACACCACGCCGACAGCCACAGAGGGGTTCTTGTCCATAGGGTATGCGGGTGGGGGCTGGGGACAGACACCGGGCTCGCCCCTTACCCTTCTTCTTCCGGATGGAGGCTTGCAAACAGAAAGGGGAGCATGAGTCTGGAGATGGCGGTGCTCCCCTGGGGCCTGGCTCGGGGGCGCCTCTCACCCGCAGCTCATTGGGGTTAGACTCGGAAGGCCGGGGTTTCTAGAGAGCTCAATTTATGGCTTCCCCAGGAACCCGGGGATGGGGTGACCTTCCCCGCCTGACACATCCAGCTGGTAAACCTGCTTCCTAGCCACGGATGAGGCACTGTTGGGGCGTCCTTCCCACTGAGCTCCCTGCCCCCTGCCAGCACTGTGCCAGTGTGGCATGTGAGTGAGAATGGAAGCCGACTTCAGGAGCCCCATGACCCCGCATGGGGGGGGCGCGGACATGGGCCACGGGATGCTGGGGCCCCTTGGAGGAGGTGGGGCGGCACGCGCTGTCTGGTTGTAACGGGCAGGCGGCGGTTCTGTTGGGGCCCCTGCCAGGGGCAGGCCAGGTGTGTGGGGACGGTCAGGCTTTCCTGGCCAGCTCGGCTTGGAAGGACAGGATGTGGTCAGGAAGGGGGCCAGAAGAGGGGCTTGTGGGGGCTACCCGTTCTTGGCAGGGGGTGGGCAGCACCATAGCAGGGGTGCTCGTTTCTAGAAGGCTAGGCCTCAGTGACTGGTGAGGGGTGATGGCTAGGAGGCAGCCAGGGCCCGGGAAGGACCGTCTGGCTGCAGTACTGCACCCACTATGGACAGAGGAGACCGCCCCTCCCCCCCCCCGAGAATGCCGCAAAGAAGAAGGCCTGCTCTGTCCTTCCTGGGAGGGAGGGTCCCGAATGTCCCCCATGAAGGCTGGGATCAGGTGGGACTGATGTCCGGTGCAACACCAGTGAGGGGTGCTCAGATGTCAGCCCGCTGGGTCAGCCGGGCCTGAGGGGCGGCTCCCGTGCGCAGATGCTCACTCTAGCACCTAGCGAGGCCCTCTCCGCCTTCTCTGCAGAGTGAGCCTGTCCGCCCACTCGCCACTTCCGTGTGGTCAGAGCCAGCCTCCTTCCAAATGTGTCCCTGGGCTCCATGGTGACGCCCAAGCGTGACATTCAGCCAGCATCCAGGCAGCCCACACCAGCTCCAGGGTCCTCCCTCCCCCAGCAGCCGCCAGTGCCACTGGACCCAGGGCCCATGAGGTTCTGCATGCCCTTCCCTGTCTATCTGGCGGGGACAACGGCTACAGCCTTCCTGTTCTTTGCAGACCTTCTAGAAGACGCCAGGAGCTCCCTACCCATGGAGTGCAGCTCGCCAAGCCTGTCCGCCCCACCACAGTCTACGTCAAACCCTGGGGATGGAGCTTTCTGACCCAGCCGTGCACAGAGCACCAGCGAGGCAGAGTTTGGTTGGGGTTGGTGGGGGAAGCCTAGATAGCAGGGGAGCTGTTTAGGGAACACTGTGGGGCAGCTTACCTTTGTCCACTAGTGAGAGGCCCAAAAATTCAAAACAAAACAATGTTAGATGAGCCGAAAAGAGGGAAAGGCGGAACTAGTAACCACCCCCGAAGCCAGCAGGATTCCCACGGAGATGCCAACGTGGGAGCCGCCCACACACAGGAACCCGACGCCATTCCTGGGTTTCAGGGGCAGAGACCAGGGCAAGCGAGCGAGCAGAGGCCATGCATGGCCCGAGGCTGCGCAGAGGCCGGTCCCACTGCATCCCAGGTGCTGGTGACAGCGCGGGGCGGGGCGGGCCAGACGGGCGACTCTTACCGAGCTCCTCCAGCTCCGAGGTCATGGACTTGGAGCGCAGGGTGAGGGCCGTGGTTGGAGCACGCTTGGGAGGCGGGGGAGCTTGAGGGGCAGACGGGAGAGACAGAGGTGTGAGAACCTGGCCGGGCTGTCGCCCGCCCCACTCCCACGCTTCCCGCACAGTCTGGGAGCCGGCGGCCCTGAGCCTGCGGGGAAGGGGGGCAGGCGGGCGTCCCCCGAGGCTGGCGAGCAGCAGCGGTCACGCGGTGAGCTCCACTTGGGCCGGGACCGGCCTGCCCTCCCTGAGCGAGAAACCCGCGGAGGGGAGGCCGGTTCAGCTCTGCCTGCGCCGGGCCTGCCAGGGACTAACGGGACGGACCGCTCCAGCAGCCTCACGGCCCCTCCCTGGCTGCCGCCCCCTCATCACGGCAGGGCCGTGGGCTTCGTATGTGTGCGGACGCCCCCCAGGCCCTGGCTGCTGAGCGCAGCCGTGCGTGCTGCCGCCTGTGTGCGGGGCGCAAGCCCACAGGCATCTCAGCCTCCCTTTGTGGCTTCTCTCCCTCCTCTGAGAGGGCCGGCCCCCCAGCGGGAGGAGGTGTGGGGGGCACCTGAGTGTGTCCAAGCACCGGTGGCTGGAGCGCAGGGGCAGGGCAGGGCGGGCACCTTTCTTCCTGGCAGTGTCGTCCGGGTCGAGACTCCTGGTCACTGTGACCACCTTGAGCACGAGGTGGTTCCCTCCCTGGCGGATCATGGTCACGACTTGCCGGTGGCCGACCTTGACGACGTTCTCGTTGTTCACCTGTGGGAAGACGGGGGCTGTGGGCGTGGGGCCGCGTGGGCTGAAGGGGACCGTGCCCACCCCTGGGCGGCAATAGCCCTGCCTCCAGACGGATGGACGGGTGGTCGGCAGACTAGCAGCGTGAAACCACTGTGGCCTGGGAATCACAGCTGTGGGGCTGCAGGCCCCTGACCGTGGTGTGGGTGGGGGCACCGCGCCGTGCGGGGCAGGTCCCAGCTGCCCGGCAGGTACGATGGATGCTCGTCTCACCCGAGGGCACTGAGGTGCTCACTCTGGGCAGGGCTGGGACGAAATCTGCCAGACAGATTTCCAGGGTCTGGGGTGTGGCCCTGCAGCTTTCCGTTTTCATACTTAAGGGGAAACACTGATTGTTTCTCACACATTTGGGGAACACGCATAAAATGGCCCATTTCCTCCAGGTGCTCCCCCCTCCCTCCTCGGTGACCAGGGAGGCTGGAGAAGGCGTAAAAGCTTGGCTGACAAGGCACTGAGGGCTCCAGGTCCCTGCCCTGCTTATCCAGGGATCCAGGATGAGGCCCCATCGTGGCCACTCAGGTGTTTGCTGACCTCCTGCCCGAGGCCCGTCTCTTGACCTCCATCTGTCCCCATGGCATCGGCAGGCAGAGCCAGGACGGCACCTCCCAGAGCTAGGTCCCGTGGCAGACCTGCTTTGTCCGCTCCCACCCACTGCCCCGGGGGCGGGCACGAAGACAGGCCAGACCACGGTGGTGAGAGTAAGAGGGAGGCAGATCTCAGGTGTTGGGGCTGCACACCCCCGGCCTGGTGAACTGGCCCTGTCCTGAGGGGGCTCCGGCATCTGCCGTCCCCACAGCCCCCGGGGGGCGTGCCGGGCACGGGGTTGGGGGGCAGCACAGGGAGTGAACCCACAGGTGGTGGAGTTCATGGCCACCCCATGCACTGTCCTCCAAGAAAGAAAAGCCCCCACTGCAAAGAACAAGTGAGAAGCAGCCAGTGCCCGGCCCACCCCACCACCGACAGCCCCGTGTTGTACTTGCTCCTGCTGCAGATTCCCTAAAAACCTTTCAGGTGCAAGGTTGCCTCAGGCAGACATGCCACCAGGCTGGGCGACTTCTCACCGTCCTCACACCCGAGCGTCCAGGTCTGCACGCCGGTGAGGGTGAGCTCTTCCCGGAGCGCCCTGGAGCACACAGCAGGAGGCCTCGTGGGGGGGGGCGTGTCACAGCTGTTCTTGGTGACAAATGACGCCCCTTCCCGCCCCACCTTTCCTTTACGTGCCCCAGGGAAGTGACGTTGCTCGTCCCGTCATCCGGCACTGCTGCTCAGAGCACCCACTAAGAGCCAGGACATATGGGGTGATCCTGGCGGGCGGTCTGTCCCTGCCCTCTGCAGCTCACGTTCTCGGGGGCATTGGCCACACCCGAGTCCGTGAACAAGTGTGACCCCAGCGGTGCTGAGTGCCAGCTGAGACAACTGGTCCGGGCAGGAGGGGCCGGGGAGTGGGAGCCGGGTGGGGGTGGGGGCCCCTCTACAGGAAGACGGTGCCGGCAGCACCCCAGACCCCGCCTCCGTCCATCCGCAGGGGAGCGCCCTTGCCTTCGGCAGTCCTGTCCGGCACGTCCCAGCTGTTCCTCCTCAGGCTGGGCCCCCAAAACAGAACCGCACTCCCAGCCGCCTCTGCTTCCTAGTGAGGACCAGAGTGGCACCTACTATGGGACAGAAGGACTGGCTTCTCAAGCCTGTTCTGACCGTGGGCCTCTCATTTTCTCCTTTCCCCGTGTCCCCTCCCCTCAACCAGCCCCATCTTCCCACCCTGCTCTGGATGGAGTTCTTCCTCCGGAGTGAGAAACATACCAAGGTCAGAGCCATGGGCTGTGTGGCTCTGGGCTTTTGTGGACGTCACAGGTGCACGGGTGAGCCCTCTGACAGCGAGGGCACAGGGGTGCCAGGAGCGTGTGCTGGGATGACTACCAATACCCTCCCGCCAGAAGAGCGGGCAAAGGTGCAAGGCAGCACCGTTCAACTTGGAACCCACGAGACCAGGACCAAAGGCAGGAGAGGATCCTCAGCTCCAGTCTCCTCCCCAGCACAGGGTGCGCGCGCACAGGAGCAAGAGCAGAGCCTGCTTTACAATTTCCCAGTCTTCAAACAAACTCGAAATTCAGTTTATCCCATAACGGGACTTTGGAACCAGCCACCGGCCCTCACAGATGCTGTGAACCGCGTGTGTGGGGACAGGAGCCACAGAGACTGAGAGGGTGAAATGTTCCTGCTCCCTCAGATGCCTGGGTTGGCACATTGTGCAGAGCACCTGGGCCTGCAATGCTGGTACGCTGCCACCTGGGGGACGTGTGTGCCACAATCTCCTGCCACATCTGGAGAAGGTGAGCACACATCTGGAGGCTCCTGGGATTGTATTCTCGAAGAAACATTATAAACCACAGATCCAGTTAACGGCAGGGCAGAGTACAGGTCTCTGCATTCATCATTCTTCTATACAGATGTGGGGCCACCTAGAAGGTAGTGCACCACGGCCGCATCCCGGTGGAGGGCAAGAACCCAAGCCCGGCATCCACCACGGTTCAGAGAACTTCTGTGAAGAACACAAAGACAAACCTTCCCCTGCACTTTTGTGCTTTTCTAAACCATTGTCTTCTTCCACTTAAATGGTTATTCCGGATGTTAGACTCACACATGCACACGGCTTGAAGAGACGGGTCTACAAGGCTTGCTACAAAGCCCAGGGGACGCGCCACCCAGGGCCCTTCTCACTCCCAGAGCCTTCAGCACACTCCTCCTGCTCTAGCCCTGTGTCTCTCAACACGCTTACGTAGCTGCTCCTCGGTGTTTACACTTTAGATGTCATCTGCTGACACACCACTATGGCAAACGATGACCTTGCTCGGGGGTTCTGAACAGTGGCGCCCCTGCAGTCGTGGAGCAGTTAGTTCTCTGTTGTGCGAGCACACGCGGGTGTATTGGTGAGCGTCCCTGGACTCCACATGCTGGCTGCCGGCCGCGACCCCTTCCTCCCAGACGTGACCACTGGACGCGTTTCCGGACATCCCCAAACGTCCACGGGGAGGTCAGAATCCCCCTCAGCTGAGCATCACTAATTCAGGTCTTTTCTCCCATTGCTCCCTCTCCTCCCCCAGGACTTCCACCCCCGGGTTACAGTTCCGTCGAGCTCCAGCTGGATCCACACTCGGGAGTAGCTCACGACCAGGCGGTGCAGCTCTTCGGAGCTAAGCCATGTAGTGTGTTATGATTACTTTGTTTTTTCCTATATAGCATGTTTTCCCTGGAGCGAAATCATTTTCTATTGTTTGCGTGTTGGTTTAATTTTCTATGTACTTAACAGTAATTCCAATCCAAATGCTTCCTAATTATGTAAATCTCTTTTCCAGATCTTCAGATATGTTGGGTCTTTTGCTAAGTTTATCTTCTTGAAGAAATCGCTCCCAAAGACTTCTGCTCTTCCCGGCACAGTGTGGGTTCGGTGTACTTTAATCCTGTGCCCCAGGATTCCTTTCCGTCTCGTCTTGTGTTGGGCTCCCCTGAATCCCACAACCCCTGGACATATTGATTGTTACTTGGTAGAAAGCCTCATTTTTGGTAAAGGATATTCTCTAGTTGCTTCCCAATGAAGGGAATTTGGCAGAGATTTTTTTTTTGTTGACATTGTTTATTGGAAAATGGCTTTTTAAAAAAGATATTTATTTGAGAGAGAGAGTGAGCAAGTGTGGGGAGGAAGAGAGAGAGACTCCTGAGCGGACCCCACACCCAGCTTGGAGCCCAGTGTGGGGCTCGATCTCATGACCCTGAGATTATGACCTGAGCTGAAACCAAGAGTCAGGTGCTTAACTGGCTGAGCCACCCAGGCACCCTGGAAATGGCTTTATGTGCACACTTAACTGGGAGTCTGGGTACAGAATTGGAGGTTGGGGGCTAAGGTAAAGAAAGTTGCTGAGACCATCTCCTCTGTAGGCAACACAGTCTGGGAAAAAATAATCCCCTCACCCCCAAACTCAAACAAGAACGACTCCGCTAAAGCTCTGGGATGTGAACTGAGGTAGGCAGATTTTGGATGGGAGTGGAAAATTGGAAGCTTTGGGCCATGGACAGAGTGTAATGCGGCTCACCTGAAGCTCTGCTGGCTTAAGAAATCAGAGGACAGAATGTGGGGTGGCCACAGCTGTCAAAGTGAGGGGAGAATCCCAGAAAAGAGAGAGCCAGAGAACGGCAGCTCCATGTGCTATGTGTACACTCCAGATCTCTGATGCATGTATGAACTGTGCCTGCACAGGCCTGACCAATGCAGCTTGCAGATGAGGCTAAGGTGCCTGAACCTAAATTTGAGCTGCTGTCTGCAGGCTGGCCACTCTCCGGTTTGAGACTAACCAAGGTAATTACCAGTTAAAGTGCAAACATCAACACTCATCCAAGGAATGTAACAGAATCCAGATTGTCACAGCATAACCTTTATGATACTCAGGATATGGTGCAAACCTACTTGATGAACCCAGGCATGCCCAAGATGTTGGAGTTATCAGACAAGGATTTAAAGCAGCATTATAACAATACTCCTCTCAGTATAGGAAAATACACTCTTATTGCATAAAAGGTAGGAAATATCCAAGAAACACAAATGTAAAAAGAAGTGACAATGTTAAAAGTGAAAAATACAATGACGTAAGTTAAGAAATGCACTGGATGGGCTTAATAGTGAGATGGATATGGTGGAGCAAAAAGTGAACTTGAAGAAACATCAACAGAATTTATCCAATACAACGAAAGAGAGAAAGATTTCCAAAGTGAAGAGAATCTTAAGGACTCGTGGGACAATGTCAAAATGTCTTAATATTTTGAGTCCTAGAAGGTAAGAATTTGGAATCTCAGAACAAAGAGAGAAAATGGGTCAGAAAGAGAATTAAAAAAAACGATGGCTGAGGGGCACCTGGGTGGCTCAGTGGGTTAAAGCCTCTGCCTTCGGCTCAGGTCATGATCTCAGGGTCCTGGGA